GGGTGTGAGCGCTAATGGGCACAGACTTTGGGGGGTAATGAAAATATTCTAAATAAAATAATGGTTGCACAACCCTGTGAATATACTAAAAACCACGAATTGTTCACAAGAGTGAACTTTATGGTATGTGAATTACATCTCAAAACTGTTATTTTAAAAAGTTATGCCAGCTGTTGTTACAAATTCGGACCATAATGACTTGTAAAAAGTGAATCTGGGACTTCCCTGGTGGCTCAGTGGTTAAGAATCCATCTGCCTAATGCAGGGGACATGGGTTCGAGCCCTGGTCCGGGAAGATCCCACATGCCACAGAACAACTAAGCCCGTGTGCCACAACTACTGAGCCTGCGCTCTAGAGCCCGTGAGCCACAACTACTGATGCCCTCTCGCCTAGAGCTCGTGCTCCGCAACAAGAGGAGCCACCGCAATGAGAAGCACGTGCACCGCAGGGAAGAGTAGCCCCTGCTCGCTGCAACTAGAGAAAGCCAGCGCGCGGCAACGAAGACCCAACGCAGCCCAAAATAAATAAATACATAAGTTTATTAAAAAAAAAAAGTGCGTTTGCCACACCCCCATCTCACTCCCATAGTGAACCACTGACAGCATCTGGGTAGATTTTTTCCTTTCTTTGTGATGTTTTAAAATTCCATATATCTGCACATGTACATGTTTATATACATAAGTATACATGATATATATGTTTTATATATATATAAATTTTGTTTTGCAAAAATGGAATCCTAGTATATCTGTTATTTTACAGCTAGCTTTTTTCACTTCTTTTGAGGATGTATTTCCATGACACTTGTTAAAAAAAATTTTATTGAAGTATGGTTGATTTACAATGTTGTGTTAATTTCTGCTGTGCGGTAAAGTAACTCAGTTATACATATATATATATTCTTTTTTTTCATATTATTTTCCAGTATGGTTTATCACAGGATATTAAATATAGTCTCCTGTGCTCTACAGTAGGACCTTGTTGTTTCCAGGATATTTTTTTTTTGTGTGGCCACACCGTGGGGCATGTGGGATCCTAATTCCCCGACCAGAACCTGTGCCCCCTGCAATGGGAGCGTGGAGTCTCAACCACTGGAGCGCCAGGGAAATCCCCCAGGGTGCTCTTTTTAACAGCTGGTGGTTTTCTGTTTTCCAGCTGTATTGAAACTTAATTATGCTGTCCCTCATGAACAGTTAGGTTGCTCCCAGTGCTTTGCTGTTAGCGAACAATGACCATCTTTGTATGTGCATCTTGGGGCCCCTGGGATAGTATTTCTGGAGGATAGAGGCCTAGAAACAGGCCTGCTGCATCCCAAGGTGGGCAAAGGCCCACCTTTTATAGATGTTGACATTGAACCTTTGACAGGTGACATATTTATCCAGGGTCTGCCAGCAAGTCAGTGGCAAAGAGAGTAGGTGGTGAGTGAAATGGGGCCAACCAGGCATCACCTCCCACACCCAGGAACACACAGACACAGGTGGACTTCTGGCTCTGAGAGAGAAGCAGCCCCCAGCCCCCGCCTCTGAGCAGGCGCAGAGTCAGGTGGGGACTCAACAGCCAGAGATTCCCAGAGGCAATGATGACATTCTTTTCCCCCTCAGCCTCTCCAGGTCCCTACCATGGCCGTTCCTCTCCCTTTCATCTTTCTGAAATTTACCTTGAGATCTGTGTGTGAAAATAAGTGTAAGCTGTAAGTGCTGGTCATTCATTCACTCAGCCATTCCCACCAGTGCTCATTTGACATCAGCTTCTCCCCCCACTCCATCCCCACCCCGTGGGGGTTTTCTTCATTCTGCCTTTGCATCTCCCTCCATCACAGCCCTCCTGCAAAGCAGGCTGGCAGGAAGAATGGGAAGTGGAAAGTATGGCACCCTTTCCCAGACTAGTCAGGACCCTCCTCTGGACGCCTGCTCTTCCTCGGGGCTTCTTTTTCCTTTGCCCCTTATCATTCTGGACGAAGAGTAGCCACTAGCCTGTCTCACTCACCACACTAGCCAGCACTTCCCTGCCAGGATCCTGCCTCGTGCTATTACTGGGAATAAATTAGAAGGATTCCAACTACCTGCAATGATCTCTTACTGGCTCGCATCCGACTTGCTTTCTTGGGGGATGGGTGTCATTCAGCTCAAATGTTCCCACCACAAAGAGGCCTTCCCTGGAAGCCCCGTCTGTTCCCATGGTTCTCTGTCCCAGTGTCTTACTTTATTCTCTTCCAAGCCCCTTTCACCATCTAAAATGATCTTTGTTGCTTTATTTGTTCCCTGCCTGTCTTCTCCATTAGAATGTTAGTTCCGTGAGGGCAGGGATCCTGTCTTGTTCACCCTATCTACCCTGGAGCTCCCCAGCCAAGGAGCAGGTACTTGGTCAATATTTGTTGAATCCATGTTTGAATATAAATGCATGCACAAGGTCTGGAAGGTTCGACTTCATACTGACAACCATGGGACTTCCCTGGTGGTCCAGTGGTTAAGACTCTGTGCTCCCAGTGCAGGGGGCCCAGGTTCGATCCCTGGTCAGGGAACTAGATCCCGTGTGCATGCCACAACTAGAGACCCAAAGCAGCCAAATAAATAATAAATAAATAAATATTAAAAAAACAAAAAACTGACAACCGTGGCTACATCTTAGGAGGGGACTGGGGTTGAGGGAGACAGTCAAGTAGGAACTTTAGCTTTATTTTAAAATTTTTGATAAGGAGAGTGTATTTACTTCTTAACTGATAGGTAAAAAATAAATACACCAAACGAAGGGCCCAAATCCCTTAGTCCTAATCCTGATATTTTGGTATGATTTTGGGCTGGTGACCTGACTTGCATAGCTGTCTGTGGCTTCTGACCTCACCTGTAAACACAGTCCCACCTCCGACCTGAACCCTGGATTTACAGTCTGCACGGCATTTTTCCATTCATTATCTCACCGGATTACCCACAACCTTGGGACGCAGGCAAGGCAAAGATTATTATCCCAATTTTATAGGGTAAGAAATTAGGGTTCATAGGGGTGGAGTTGTCTGGCCTGTGGTCACACAGCTGTGGTCATGCAGGCCCTTACCTCCTATCATGATGAGCTGACTCAGATAATGAGTTTCTAAACCCCACAAATGGCTAATTAGGGCCCAGAGGCTGGGCTGGGTGAGCTACTATCATGGCAAAGGGATCAAGGTCAGATCTGAAACTGTCTTCAGGGACCTGAAGGGAGCCCCTTAGGCGGGTGAGGAGAGGAATATAATCCCTCCTGGGCTTTAATGAAGAGTACTGGTGGTCTTTGGAGGCCAAGGTGGGTGTGTGAGCCCAAGTCCCTGATTTAATGAGAGTACCTGGAACCCTCCTTTCTTAGAGTTGCTTTCCCACAGGGTCAGGGCCGGAGGTGGCAGCGAAGGCTTGGTGAGGGGCCAAGGGGGCTGGCCAGGCAGCCTGGCTCATGGCAGCCCCTTCCTAGGTAACCTGAAAGTTGGCGTTCTGGGCCAAGATGGTGGCCTCCCAGCTGTGGACAGATCCAGGGTGTGAGGCTGCCCCAGGCTGGCAAGCTGGGGTCCCCTGGGTCATAATTGTATTCCCAGCTGGGACTCAGTGAACCTTTGAGGAGGTGGGATTCCCCAAGTTGGCCTGTTTCCTCCATAATTTACTCACAAAGGTCCAAGGGACAGGCTGGGTACAAAATGTTTTCAATCCATTTTATCACGTTTACCAGGCACCAGGTATCAATAGTTAGAGTTTATGAGTGAAGACTAATTGTGAGGCACATCTTACTCCTCTCAGCCACTTTGTAAAGCAGGAATTATCCCCATTATTAAGATGTGGCAACTGAGGTTCATGGAGGCACACGGTCACACAGCTGAGTGAGTGGGAAAAGCCAGGATTCGAGCCTGGGTTGGTACACCCCTGTTCTTTCCATTCCTCCAAGGGCTGATGGCTGACAGAGATGACTAGGATCCCGCTCCTTCCTTTGGGGGGAGTGGTGCGACAGACTCATCCCAGCTAACTATTGCACTGGTCAGAGTGATGTCACTGCCACGGCAGCCTAGTGGAAGCTGATTCATCTCCTGGAGGTCAGGAGAGGCCTCTGGGGAGGGTGGCTAACCCAGGTCTGGATGGGGGAGCAGGAGAATGAGGCTGCAGAGGTTCCAAGGCCAGACACCCAATGTCCCATTAGACAAGGGCCTGCTTCCCATAGGTCCTTCCCATGGGACCCCAACCCCCCCAACCCTAGTCAGGATGCCCCAGTGGGGAGGGGTGATTCCCTGACCCTACACGGGGGGGGGGGGGTGAGGAAAACTCTGCAGGACCCCTTGTCAGGCTCAATACATCACTGAGTGGACACCTGGACCACTGTGGTGGTGGTGGTGGGGGGCGTCCCATGGGAAGGGCCCCGGGGTCCCATGGGTGGGAGCATGGAGTCTCCTGGTCCGGCTCTGGGGGGAGGGGAAGGTGGCAGACAGAACTACCTGTAGGTCAAGGGTGTTTTGGAGTGGTGAGACAGGGTGAATGAAGCTAGTGGTCATCTGGGGGTGCTTTGGGGTCTGCAGGGGAACTGCCTGATTGGCCGAGGGTGGGGAGAATGCCTCCTAAAAGTTTCAGGCCAGGGGAATGTGGGGGATTTGCAGGTCCTTAGAGTGGGAAGCACTCAGGATGGGAGGAAGAGGAGACTTCCCGGTGGGCAGCGTGGTGGAGGAAGAAGTCACTGTGGGGAGGGGCTAGTTTGCGGTGGGTGAGGGGTTCAGGGGCCATCCCAGAGTTCTTTGAGGAGTCCACGGCAGGGAGTGGGAAGGGGTGACCGGGATCGCCGAGGAGAGGGGCGGTGGGGTGCTGGGCCCGTGAGGTGGGTGGGGGTGCGGGGTCCGCGTCTGGGGGGCGGAGCCACCGCTGGGTGGGGCGCCAGGCCGCCGCCCCCTCCCCGCTCCCCCGCGGCGGCGGGCGGGGACCGAGACCAGCGGGACGCCCGCGCCCGCGGCCGGCCCACTGCAAGGGGAGCGGGCGGCGGTGAGTAGGCGGCGGCCGGCCGGGCCGGGCCATTCGGGCAGCGGCTGCTCGGGCAGGTCCGGGCAGGGCCGGGCGGGAAGCAGGCAGCCGATCCGGGACCCCGCTCCGGAGCCGGAGCGAGGACTCCGAGGCCGCGGCCCCGCCTCCTCCCCGCCCCGCGCCCGCCGATAGCGGGTCGCGCCCCGAGCTCCAAGCCGCGCCGGCTGGGCCGCGCCGGAATCACAGCCGCAGCCGTAGCTGGAAACCGGCCCGAGCCGGGTCCAAGGGTGAAGCCTGGTCCCGGCGGCGCCCGGAGCCGGGCCCGAGCCCCGCGCGGCTCATGGCGGGGCCGCGGGTCGCGCTGCTGGCTTGGTGCCGCCGCCAGTGCGAGGGCTACCGCGGCGTGGACATCCGCGACCTGAGCAGCTCCTTCCGGGACGGCCTGGCTTTCTGCGCCATCCTGCACCGGCACCGGCCCGACCTGCTGTGAGTGCCGGGAGGGCGGGCGGCCGGCCGGGGCGCAGGGCGGCGCGGGCTCGAGGTGGGGACCCCCGCCCCGCTCAGTGACGCGGAGCCGGGGCGGCGGCAGGCGCCGCCCCCGGAGGCCGAGACTCCCACCCTCCCGCGGGCCCCCAACGCCTCAAGGAGACCCTCTGATCCAGGGCACCCCTCCCCCACTTGGCCTCTTTGACCCCGCCCACTGGAACACAGCCCGCCCCCCATGCCGGTCTTTCTGCTGAGGCCCTGGCCCCGCCCACAGGGCACTGATTTCCGCCCAAGGGACACCGAAACCTCCAAGGCCTTGCCTCTTTGAAGGAGCACCGAGCCCTCCTCGGGGACCCTGGGCCTTTCTTACACTAAACTCTTAAAACAGGCACTCTGAGCAGCCCCCTCCACGTGGGGCATTGAGGCCTGTTCCCTCCGTGGGGCCCCCTTGCTTTGATTCCCCCATGCGATCATGTTTCCAGGGCACTAGCACAGTGCCTGGCACAGAGGAAACCCTAGGTTAATAGAGGTCAGATGAATGGATGTAACCCCCTCCCCATTAGGACACAGACCTGTCTCCCCAGGTGTGTTCCGCATGACTCTGCTGTCCTCAGTGGGGCAGGGAGGCTGAATGAAGACTCCTAGGGTCTGACCTACAGCCCTAATGGGCTGCTCCAGGGTGTGAAATGGCCTCTTCTTGCCCCCAGGTGCCCAGTGAGGTTCCACGGGAAAATTTATTCAGACCCCAGAACAGTTGACTTGGTGTTTCTATCTCAGCTCCCTCTTCCTTGGGCCCTGGAACCTCTTCCATTCATTCATTCATTCATAAAACGCTGAGTGCGTGTTTATCTGGCAGCTGCCATTCCTTGTACTTCTGATCTCATCTGCAAACTGGAGACAAGAGTCATGGTCCTTGTCTGTCTTGCTTACAGCCCCTCGGACAGGGTTCCCCAAGCCTGACAGGGTCTGGAGTTTTTGTGTGTCTGTTCCACCTCCTGTGCTCCCCAAAGACAGCACCTGGGAGGCTTTGATGAAGGAGGGAAGGAAGGGAAGGATTGCCTCAAGGATTCGATGGTGTAGATGCATTTAGCTTATTCTGTACCATGTAGGTGGTGGGGTGGGCCCTGGAGGGGTGGGTTTTGGGGGTTGTGGATGCAGAAGCGAACGAGATGAGGTGGAGATGAAGGTGGGCTGCTGCCTCTTGTGGGGCCTGTGGCACGGGGTAAGGGGGCTCAGGAGCCACGCCTTGAAGCTTGGAGAAGGAGGGCACCCAGATTGGACCCACGCATTAGAGCGGAGGGCTCAAGGGGTCTTCTGTTTTGGCTGGGGGGCAAGTGGTGAGGCAGGGTTGGCCAGCGTGTGACAGGACTTAGGTGTCAAGCTAAGCCACGCAATGGACCCGAGCCTGCCAGCACAAAGTGCTGGGAAAATCACTGGATCCCTCCAGGCATCAGCTTCCTGGTCAGTAAAGGGGGGCTGATAATAAGACCTACCTCCCAGGATTGTTGGGAGAAATTAAATGGGACAGTGAACATTCAGTTAACATTAGTTATTATAAGAAGTGTTATTAAGCAGGAAGGGATGATGAAAGTGTCTCATTCCTTCGTTTATTCCACGTCTGCAGTCTGCAGAGTTATACTCTGTGCTGGCCACTGTGCCTGGTAATGGAAATAGCTACTAACCAACCAAGAGGCAAACCCCACACAGTCTCCCATGGCCTCTGGGGGTAACAGATGTATAAGCAGTGCTGATAACTCCACGTGGGAAGTGCTGTATCAAAGGGCTAGGTTGGGAAGGCCTCCCAGCAGTCACATAGACTTCAAAGAGATAGCAGGAGCTGGGTCAGGGCTGAGGGAAGGGCATTCCCGGCAGAGGGGACCACTTGAGCAGAGACACAGGCGGCACTGTTGGAGCCCATAGCACAGGGCAGGGAGGGCTGGGAGATGTGGCTGGGCCAGAGTGCTTAGGGCTTCCTGCTGGCTAAGGAGGGTGGATGGGGCCACAGGGAGGGATGTGGCTAGAGTTCGTGTGGAGCGGAGGGGGCTTCCCTCCTGCGAAGAGATCCAGAATCAGGTCCAGGCATTCATTTGCAAGGCAGGCCAGCATCTGGGCTGCCAGCCCATTGCACGGGAGAAAAACCGAGGCCCAGAGAGGCATAGAGAGGCATAGAGAGGACCTCGGTGATGGCTAGGGAGGATCTCCATGAGAGTGGGGCTGGGGTAGGGGCGAGGGCAAGCACCATCTTCTAAAGTGGTTCAGGCTTCTCGAGCTGTGGGCTCATTCCCCCTCCTCAAATCTAGGCATCTTTAAGCTCCCTTGAGGGACCCTGTGGGTTTCACTTTTGTGCTCCTCACCTCCCCCAGAGCCAAATAGAACTTCGCAGCCTTCGAAAACTCTCAGAAAATATGTTTCCAAAGCCTAGATGTTGATTAGGGACGAAGGTAGGGGAGGGAGAAGTGGAGGAAAAATTGTGGTACGCGGGGACCTTTACAGTTTTCACGCTGTTTCCGGCATTTACGCATTCAGTAGACGTTTATGGAGTGCCTACTAAGTACCGGGCACTGTGGAGGGTGTTGAGTGCACGCCGTGAACAAAATGTGACCCTAGCCTCCTAAGAGCACTGCTGGGAGACTGAAATAAACGGCCCAGACAAGCTGCTTTTGTCTCATTCAGCCTCAGAACAAGCTTTTGTTGGGGGCTGGGCTGGTGTCACAGTGTCCCCGAGGTTTAGAGAGGTTGTGTAGCTTGCTCAGGGTCACACTCTTAGGCAGCGGCCAAGCAAGGGGAGGAGTTCGGGACCCAGCTGAGGGGAGAAAGAAGCGGTCTGGCCAGAGGTGGCAAAAGGGGCTGAAGTGCATACACAATCCCCTCCCCAGTCCACTCGGCCTTTTGGCCTTGGGCACCTCCTGGGGGGTTTGCAAACTACCCCTTCCTGCCTTGACCCACGTTCACTGTACCTTGATCTCTGCCTGGAGAAGTTAGCAGGCAGGTGGGCAGGAGGAGGAGGGCTCTCTTGTGTCTGGGAGGCTGGCCTCTAACAAGCCTGGTCCTCCCCACCAGCCTGGGAGGTGGTACGAGGGCTTCCCCTAGTTTGCAGATGGGAGAATGAAGGCCACAAGGACTGCCGACCCGTCCAAGGTCACACAGCCTGACCTGGAAGAGCAGGGCCTGGGACCCAGACTTTGGAGGCCGTACTGCCTTCTCCGGCCTCTGGGCCCACGTCTCAGGCAGTCAGGCTGCAGTTTCCAGCCGTAGAAGGACAAGGCTTGGGGCGGGTGTACCCAGGAGGCTGCTGGGCAAGAAGGCTGGGTCTCCTCCGCTGGTTTCAGCCACTCCAGCAGCTGGAGCCAGGAGGTGGGGAGGGGAATAAATAAAAGCTAGGTTACTCCGGCAGGCCCTGCCACTTCTCACCTGTCCCAGCTTAGGAACTGGGACACCCTTCACTGCTCCCCGAAGGATGGTGCCCCTAGGAGTGGCTCAGCGGGGTTGGCCGACCGTTCCGTGCCAGCAGCTCTGGAGAATGTACTATTTCCAGGCTGGTTCCGACTTGTTCTGTTCCCGGCCCCATTGAGACAACATTACTCTTCGGCCTGGGTTAGGGTTTCAGCAAGTTGGTGTGGCTGTCCAGGTTTGTGACATGCAGTGGAAGGAACAGAAATGTGGATTCCCAGGACGGCTTCCTCTTCCCGGGGTGGCTTCCTCTCTCTGGGCCTCAGTGTCCCTATCTATAAAGTGGGGTAAATACCTGCCAAGTAGAGTTGAAAATAAATTCAAGACAGGAGTTCAGCCTAGTGCTCAGCGTGAGGTCAGCAATCTGTGGGTGTCCTTGTTGTCACCAGCATTGGTCCTGGTCTTAGTTTTGTCTTTGCCCCTGAGTCAGGACATGGCTTCCTGGGGGATAAACTTGAAGCTGGGGCTTTTCAACCCCGCCCCTTCTGAGTGACTTCCAGCCTCTGCTTGGAGGCCCCCGGGGGCCATGTGCTCATTCTCTGCCCCACCCGGCAGCCCCCGCTCTATTAGCACGTGTTCCTTGCCTCAGTTTCCTCCTCCACAGTCCACAGACCCCTCCCCCAACCCTGCTGAGACCCAGGCTGGCTGGGATGTGGTCACCTCCACTGGTCACACCCCTGCCCCAGCCCTCTCCTCAATGCTCCTCCCCCACTTTGTCTCTTGCAGAGAGTTTGATTCACTTTCCAAGGACAATGTCTTCGAGAATAACCGTTTGGTGAGTCCCCCAGACAGATGGAAGCCCACGAGGCTGTGTGTTTTGGGAGGGTGTGTGTCGGAGGGCAGGGGTCTTGCAGGGCAGGAGCTGAGGTGAGGGGCTCATGGACCAGCTCCCAGAGCAGCTGCCTTGCACTGGGGCCCTGGCCGCTCCTCTCCCCACCCCCTGCTCCCCTCTGGCCCACTTGTGCCTGGAGCACCAGACCTTCCCCTTCTCCAGGTCACAGTCACCCCTGCCCTCATCCCCCTCATCCTGCTGAGCAAAGCTGGGTCTGTGCAGAGTGGCGCCCACTGACCCTGCCTCATCTTCCTCTTCCTGCTTGTGACTGCTTCTGTGCACCCCCCCTCCTTCTCCCCCCCCCGCCCCCCCCCCCCCCCCCCCCCCCCCCCCCCCCCCCGCCTCAAACCTTCCCCCACCCTGGCATCTGCACGCCCCCAGGCCTTTGAAGTGGCTGAGAAGGAGCTGGGAATCCCTGCTCTCCTGGACCCCAGTGACATGGTCTCCATGAGTGTCCCTGACTGCCTCAGCATCATGACCTACGTGTCCCAATATTACAACCACTTCGCCAGCCCTGGCCAAGGTGAGAGGGGTGCAGCCCTTCAGGGAGGCTGGCCCTGGGGGCGGGGCATGTGTCACACTGTCTTCTGAGGTGCAAACAGGCACAGGGAGGCAGCTCATCATTCATTCACTCACTGAAATATTAATTGAGTAAAATAACACTGTGCTGGGCCCGGGGGGCACAGCGGTGAAGGAGATCGCTGCCTTCGGGGAGCTCATAGTCTGGCGGGGGAGACAGACAACAAACGCGTGAATCAGTAACTGAGTGAAATAATGTCAGAGGAGGGAATTTCCTGGTGGTCCAGCGTTAAGGACTCGGCGCTCCCAGTGCAGGGAGCATGGGTTGAATCCCTGGTCGGGGAACTAAGATCCCACAAGCCACTTGGTGCGGGGGAAAAAAAAAAAAAAATTAATAATGTCAGAGGAGACAAAGCAGGACGAGTTCATCAACTGTCTGTGAGTTCACCTCTCTGGCACCCACCCTTACTTCCTGTTTGCAGACACCTCCCTGGGGTTTTTTTTCCTCCAGTGGAGAAGTGGTCCTGTAGGGCTGTTGTGCAGCATCTCCCCCAGCAGTGACCTTCAAGGCCTGAGAACTAAGAGGCTGGGGAATTGTGTGGGGTGGGATAGGGGGGTGGGGGTGGGGGGATGGGAGGCTGCAAGGGTATTTCTCGGCCCTGAGTCAGGTCACTGGGTGGCTACTGAGCCTCCTGCCTGGAGAGTCCCCATGTGGGAATCTCTCCTGGGCCTTGTCTTCCGCAGAGAGGAAATGAGCTCAAAGAGGGGAAGGGAGGAGCTCAAGGTCATACAGCAGGAAAACCAAGTTCGGGTGTCCCGACTCCTGCGCTGTGTCACTGCTGTCAGGGGTCCTCTGGGGGTGGGCACCTTGCCCCTCCGCTGCCATGTCGGTCCTTCCTCCAGCCTCTGCTCTCCATGTGGACAATCTCAGCCCGTCTCTTAAAAGAAAAGTATTCTAGGAAGTACCGATTTTTTTTTTTTCTTACTAGGAGTAAAACATGCTTACTGTAGAAAATTAGAACATAGAAAACATAAAAATTAAAAGATTAAAATAATCTGTTACTCCCCATCCCCCCCATAATGCTAGGGATTAATATTATAATGGAACAAATGACATTATATGTATTTTACTAGAAATAAAAATGAAAGTATTTCTCAACTGCCGAGTGTCTGGTGAGAGGCAGCGTGGACTGAACGTTTCTGTGCTGCCATTTACTGTCTGGGTGACAGTGGGCCGCAGGGTCGCCTCTCGGCTTAGGGTCCCCTTTGCAGTGAGGATAAGGACAGCACCCATCTCACAGGGTTACTGGGAGTAAATGAGGAAGGATGACCTGTGTCTGGTCCTTATTGAGGACTCCAGGTTACTATTATTATTACTTTTTTATTCCATTGGTTAGAATTTAGCTTGCTCACCTAGAATCACAATTCAGTCTTATCTTCTGGAGGGTTCCCTGTGGCCAAACCCCGATCTCCCTCTACTAAGCTCTTCTCTGGAAGGCCTCCTTCCGGGGACCTGCGGGCTGGGCAGGTGGAGCAGGGCCCTTGGTAATACTGTCGGTGGTGCCTACTTTGTTCCCGGTCCTCACCAGGCACCCTGGGGGTGAGGTCACCCTGGTGGCCCAGCTCCCCGTGTTCTGCCGGGGCAAGCGCACCCCCTGGGCCTGTGGGGAACTCCTGTTGCTAAAGGCACAGCTTGTGCTACAATACGGCTTGGCCCCTAAATGCAAACCATTTTTATCCCACCTGCTGCTCAACCAGAGGGAATGCAGCGAGGTGTTCCAACGCTGGAGGCGAAGCTGGCTCTTAGGCTCCCCCAGATGGTCCTCTTCTGTACTTTCTGGGTGAGGGGAGGGATTTCAAGGGTAATTTTGACCAGGCTTGACTTTTACTGTACTGGGTAACTTTGGAAGCTGGCCGTGGCTGAGACAACACCGTGCCGTGCTCTCCTTTCATCTTGTGCCAGGCTCCGTGGAGGCCGGTGACCCTGGGCATGTCAGCTGACCCCTGACCTCCAGGAGCCACAGCCTAGTCTGGAACCAGAGTGTGACGGAAGGAAGCCCAGTGGCTGAGGGACTCAGAGGAGGGGTACCTCCCCCCTACCAGGGTGACAGGGGTGGTGTCATCAGGATGAAGCCCAGTTTCTTAGTGGGGTCCCTGAGGGCCTCTCCCGACTTAGCTTAAGCCGCTCACTGCCCCAGCTGTAGTCATACTGAATTTCTTGTGCTGCTTTGAATGTATCACATTCCTTTACTGCTAAGCCTTTCTTCTTGGTGATCCTCCAGTCCCTGTCCTCACCCCCCATGCTCTGGCACATTCTTTCCTACTCATCCTCTCACCCCACATTTTGCCTCCTCCAAGCAGCCTGCCCTGATATACTCCAGGTGTTCTTATAGCCCCCTGCCCCATGGTGAACATATAAGACTCTGGTCATAGTATCTCAATTACTCCCTCTCCCCTGTAGACCTGCTACATGACTCCAGCACCTGGCACTTATTCATTCATTTAACAAATATTTATTTCGCCTCTACCGTGTGCCAGACACTGTGCTAGGTGCTAGGGAGAGAGCTGAGAACGATACAGACTCACAGAGCTTGCAGTCTAAAGGATGGGGGAGGGAGAGAGAGAACAAAGTAATTAATATAATTGCAGATAAGTCCGATAAGCAAACAAAATAAGGTAATGGTATAAAAAGCAATGAGAGGGGCTTCCCTGGTGGCACAGTGGTTGAGAGTCCGCCTGCCGATGCAGGGGACGCGGCTTTGTGCCCCGGTCCGGGAGGATCCCACGTGCCGCAGAGTGGCTGGGCCCGTGAGCCATGGCCGCTGGGCCTGTGCGTCCGGAGCCTGTGCTCCACAGCGGGAGAGGCCATGGCAATGAAAGGCCCACGTACCGCAAAAAAAAAAAAAAGCAACGAGAGGAGGAAGTGGCTATTATTTCAGGTGAGTAGTCATGGAGGACTTCTCTGAGGAGGTGACATTTGAGCTAAGCCTTGAACAAGGAGGAGAAGGAGGCCATGTGAAGATCTGGGGAGGAATATTCCAGGCAATGGGGCAGCAGGGGGGCCTGTGTGCTCCAGGGGAGTGAGGGGGAAGGAGGAGGTGAGGCCAGGGTTGGGGTGGGGGGGGGGGGGGGGGGGGGTGGGGTAGTCGTGGTGGTAGGGAGTGGGCCCAAAATTTTTGACCATGACTCATGGTAAGAAATATGTTTCCCATTATAATCCATGTTCATGTACACATATGTCACTGAAACAAGTTTCAGGAACCGATTCTTCCCCTTAAAACATGAGATGCCCACAGATATTTCCTTCTAATTCATCTTTACAATATGCTGGTTGCAGTCCACTCAGTTGATTTCAGGGTCCGTTAATGGATTGTGACCTGAGGTTCTGGCAATGCTACCTTAGACCAGTGAGGAATTTGGATTTTTTTTGGCCGGGCCTCACAGCTTGCAGGATCTTAGTTCCTCAACCAGGGATCCAACACAGGGCCCCCTGCATTGGAGGCGCCTAACCACTGGACCACCAGGGAGTTCCCTGGATTTTATTTTTAAGAATTAGCATAGGGCTTCCCTGGTGGCGCAGTGGTTGAGAGTCCGCCTGCCGATGCAGGGGACACGGGTTCGTGCCCCAGTCCGGGAAGATCCCACATGCCGTGGAGCCTGCGCGTCCGGAGCCGGTGCTCTGCAACGGAAGAGGCCACAACAGTGAGAGGCCCGCGTACAGCAAAAAAAAAAAAAAAAAAAAAGCATACAGTAGTATTGATTTATCTTTTGGTATACAGTTCTCTGAATTTGGGGGTTTTATTTTAATCACTGGGTACAGAGTAGGTGCTTAGTGGATATTTGCTGAAGTAGTGAAGGAGCAGAGTCATGGAGGAGGCGGGTGGGCTGGGCCATGGGTTTCTTCTGGTTCAAGGGCGTGCAGGCAGGGTTCCGGGCTGCACCTGCCCACTTGGGCTTGGGTGGGGCAGCTCCTCGGCCCCAGGGAGCCAGCCCATCTTCCTGAACCTTCAGGCCGGCGCCATGTGGTTCCTCTTCTTTCCTTCCCTTCACCTGTTCAGCCTCGTGGGAAGGAAGCTACCCATCCTTTCACATGTTGGGTGCTGATGGTTCTGTGCTTGTCCTGGTGCCTTATCTTATTTTATTTTTTAAAAATAAATGTATTTATTCATTTTTGGCTGCGTTGGGTCTTCGTTGCTGCACACGGGCTTTCTCTAGTTGCGGTGAGCGGAGGCTACTCTTCGTTGCGGTGCACGGGCTTCTCATTGCGGTGGCTTCTCTTGTTGCAGAGCATGGGCTCTAGGCACATGGGGTTCAGTAGCTGTGCCTCGGGGGCTCTAGAGCGCAAGCTCAGTAGTTGTGGGGCACGGGCTTAGTTGCTCCGTGGCATGTGGGATCTTCCCAGACCAGGGCTTGAACCCGTGTCCCCTGCATTGGCAGGCAGATTCTTAACCACTGCACCACCAGGGAAGTCCCTGGTGCCTTATTTTTCATGCTGCCCTGTGCAGTGGGAGTCACTGTTCCACTTTGCGGAGGCCTGGCAGGGTTGGGTAGCTTGCCCTTGGCACTTAGTTTGGAAGGAGGCATCCCCTGCCTGTGTGAAGTGGGAGCCTGGTCCTACTGCGTCAGTGGTCTGCCCTCAGGTGGTAGCCATGGAGCTCAAAGCTCAGGCCAGGTTGGGCCTCCTGGACCTCCAGGGTCTCCAGCTGCCTCAGAGTCTCTTTCTGGTCTCTTGGCAGCCGGGGTCTCATCACCCAGAAAGGGCCTGGCAGCATCCTCCCCGCCATCCAAAGCACCCACTCCCGCGGAACCAGGAGACAGGGCTCAGGTAGGCAGATGCCGGGGGTGGGCAGGTGGGGTGGGGGGACAGCTGCCACTGCCGCGTTCCGCGGGTGTTCTTGGTCCCTTTCCCGTTGGCTTTGGGACTAGATTCTCACAGGCCAGGCCAGGGCGGTAGGGGCAGGGGATGGCAGGCCTGGGAGGGGCACAGGGCATCCACAGCATTGACTCTCCATCATGGGACTCACAGGACTCTCCCATGCAATACAGCAAATTCTCCCCTTGATTCCCGTGAGACAGAGCTTTAAACTTCCTAGGGGGATTCTGCTTAATCCTCTCAGCAAAACTGGGAGGTGGGTATTGTGTGTCCTGACGTACAGATGAGGAAACTGAATCTCAGAGAGGTTTGGTCATTTGTTCAAGATCTCTCAGCTGGGAAGTGGGGGCCTCACTGCCAGCCCCCTGCTCCAAGATGCTTAGGGGATGACACCAGCGTTTCACGTCTGGACAGCACTTCACAGTGTGCAGAGGGCTTTTCCCACCTGCTCCCAACTGCGCCTTGCTGGAGGACCTCTTGAGGGACAGGGAGCCCAGCCCACGGTGGGTGTCCAGTGAGCATGTGCAGGGCTGAGACAGGCAGGGGTTATAGGATTCCACTTGGCAGGTAGGAACCCAAGGCTCAGAGACGAAGACAGCTTGCTCAAGGTCACAGTGCTTAGAAGCTGCGAAACTTGGCCTTAAATCTGCTTGGTTCTAGTTGGGGGGACAGAGAAGGCAGACGAGGTGGGCCTAAGAGGGCAGCCACCTGTCAGGCAAGGCCCACCTGTGGGGACGGGAGCGGGACAAGAGCAGCTCAGGCAAAGGGGTTATACAGCCGGAAGCTGCCTTCCTGGCGGACAGGGCCCCAGAAACCGGAAGTCTGGATTTTTGTGTTTCCATCCTGACTCAGTGACCTTGAGCAGGTCTTTCCCCCTTTCTGGACTTCAGTTTCCTCATGTGCAAAGCAGTGACAGTCCCCACCCTCTGCCCTTCTGGGGCTCTGACGGAGTCTGTTAGCACTGCACACTCTTGGGAGATGGCCACCGTTAGAGCGGGGAACAGGGAGTGTTCTTGAACAGGAAGGCTGGTGACCCCGACCCAACCCCCAGTCTGTCCACCCCGTTCCCTGCAGGGCGATGAGTGTTCCTCGGGCAGCCTGTCAGAGCAGGGCGCCCGCCGGACCCCCAGCAGCACGTGTGCGGCCTGCCAGCAGCGCGTGCACCTGGTGCAGCGTTACCTGGCCGACGGCAAGCTGTACCACCGGCACTGCTTCCGGTGAGTGGGCGGGCCCTGGGGGGCAGGGAGCTTCCCTAGATCCAGCACCATGGTGTGCCAAGCCCCTTGGCAGGCTCATCATGCTGGGGCATCTTGCTTTTCCCCATTTTACTGATGAACAAACGAAGGCCTAGTGAGGGGAGAAGACTTGGTCAGTCACAGAATTAGAGACAGAAATGGGGCCAGAGCTCTTTGAGACTAAGTACCTGATGGTGATTAAGGAGCAGAATGTGCTCTAAGAGCTGTTGAAAAAAGAAAGCATTTAAAAAATCTTATTTTATTTTTTTCTTCCTTTTTTTTTTTTTTTCTAAAGAAAGCAGTTAAAAAAAGAAATCATAGTAACAACTTGCTTTCAGTGTGTGGTTCCCAGGGGAAGCCAGGTTTAAGAAAAATGGAATAAGAGGCAGGGAAAATATAAATAGCTTAGAGAATGTATGAAAACGATTTATATGTTAGAAAAAAAATCAGCAAAGAGAATTGAATAGTTCATGGAAACCAGTGACTGGGAGTTATAGTGTGTATTCAGTTGTGGTTTAGAGTATGTGTGTGTGTGTGTGTGTGTG